AGTGTTGCCATGGCTTCTAAAAATAGAATTTTCTGTGAAATTCTTTTAAAGCACTACTCCTTCTACAGTTTTTATCTGATTTTAATATTACATAGCACACGTAGACTATACTAAGATATATAAAATAGTGCATCGGTTTTTGTTTTCGATGAACGATGTTGCCAAAGTTACTAAAAATAGAATTTTCTTTGAAATTCCTTTTAAACGCTACTCCTTCTACAGTTTTGGTCTGATTTCAATATAACTGGCACAGAAGTAGACTACACTAAGATACACAAAATAGTGCATCGGTTTTGGATTTCGATGATTAGTGTGTCCATGTTTACTAAAAATAGAATTTTCTGTGGAATTCTTTTAAAATGCTACTCCTACAATTTTGATCTGATTTCAATATAACTTGGCACACAAGAAGACTACACTAAGATACATAAAATAGTGCATCGGTTTTTGATTTCGATGAACCGTTTTGCCATTGTTACTAAAAATAGAAATGTCTGTGAAATTCCTTTAAAACGCCACTCCTTCTACAGTTTTAGTCTGATTGCAATGGCTTCTTTTCTCATCCTTTGTTATAAGTACAAACCAGTAGAGCTACAGTCTCGACAGAGACTTCTGGTTTCAGAAGCCACAGTTACTTCTTTTGACAATTCATTATCTCCTGTCGTTCTTTTTGGCACATCAGTTATGAATTGTTCCCTATTTTAAATTTTAAACCCTTCGGAAAAATTCTCATCTAATTGATGCAAGTCAGAATGTCTTGCAGCCTTCGAAATGGTCTCATTAGGGGCCTATAGCATTGAAATTCATCGCAATTTTTTTTTATTCGGCAACGGTTTTCCATATTTCACATTATATTTTACGCTATGATTATGACGTCATACATATACAGATCAACGTATAGATATGAGGCAGTATTATTTCAAAATTCTACAAATTATTAATTTCAAGAAATAAATAATAAAATAAATCGTTTTAGTTTACAAATAGTTTTACCCTTGAAGTACTACTTCTGCTGTTCGATTTTTTTTTAATTTTGGCATAATTCTCATAAATTACATTGTAAAATAAATAAATTGGAACTAATTATATAATGAGTTTCTACGATGAGTAGTTGCTGAGAAAACTGTGACGAAAATTTGTATGAAACAGACAGACGCACAGACAAACAGGAAGTTAACATCGGATTTGACAAAAATGTATCCCACTGTATGGCATGCCTCAGAGAAGACTTGTTATAATTTCAAACTTCTACGATGAGTAGTTGCTGAGAAAACTGTGACGAAAATTTGTTATGCATGAAAGGACAGACGCACAGACAAACAGGAAGTTGACATCGGATTTGAACAAAAATGTATCCCACCGTATGGAATGCCTCAGAGAAGACTGTGTCAAAATACAAGCTTCTACGATGAGTAGTCTCTGAGAAAACTTTGACGAAAATTTATTACGGAAAGACACACGGACACACAGACAGCTACCTGCAATAATGTAACCCTCTCCGATTTTTTTTTTTTGGGGGGGGGGGGGAGAGGGCTACAACTCCCTAGGATCTCCCTAATGGTGCAAATGCGGGAATGATTCGCTCCCGCAACATTTCATAGTATTCGGTATTATAACTATTTACTGACTTTAAATCCATAAACAAAAATCGTATTTTATGTTTCTAACTCTACTTTTCACTGTACAATGTACAAATTGCCATATATGAGGCTCTAACCTACTGTTTTCAACAATTACAAAATACTCCAGTTTCTCGATTCATATTGTCCGCCATATTTGCTGTACTGAAGCTGAACTTCCGGCTGTCAATTTTAACAGCTTATTTGCATATGCCCATTTATGGTAGTGTTGACATATACGCACGAGTATTGAGTCTGCAGAGGAGAAAGCGCTGTTGTCGACATTGGAAAGGTTTAAGTTTGATATTAAGTTGAAGGAGGAGCAGAAAAATATTGTATTTAATATTTTAAAGAAGAAAGATGTTTTCGCTTTGCTGCCAACAGGATTTGGGAAATCCATGACTTACATTTTGGTACCCTTGATTGCTGACGAGGTAAGTCAAAGCGGGCGTCTCCCTGATTATTTTTCGGTGTTTTTATTTTTATTTTATTTCGGAGTGTTTACATGTAAATAACAGAGTATAAATGTTTTAGCTAATGGGAGGTGCGCCAAGACACACAGCTTTAGTAATATCTCCTCTGAAAGCGCTGATGAGGGATCAGGTTGAATTCCTTGAGCAGCACAACGTGAGTGCAGTTGCTTTGAAGGATGACACTCAGAACCAAGGTGATTATGATTGTTCCATATGTGGTGTGACCATATTGAAAAAAAAAAATTAAGCCCCTTCCTTAAAAAAAAAAAAAAAAAAAAAAAAAAAAACTACATCCAAGATAGAAAAAAAAATATGTGTGAATCCAGATGGATATACTGAGGATTTTTAATGGCCCCTAATCATTTAATGAAGTCATGTGTTTTAATCAGAATTAATTAATTAAATTAAATTGTTTAAATATTTTCATTTTTGGAATGTACACTTTTTGTTGGTTAATTGTGTGACTTTGCCTTTAATTAAAGACAACATTCGTTGAGGTGAGCTCTGTAATCTCTGATTACCTATGTTATTGCTGTGGTAAAGTTTCAATTCCCAACTGCTTAAGAACTTTTCTTTTCCGTTGCTATAAGAACAAACCAGTAGAGCTTCAGTCTCAACAGAGACTTCTGGTTTTCAGTGCGCTCTCCAAATATGGAAACGCTCCGCCTCTTCCGGTAAACGAGATCTCGCGATAACAAACATGGAGGTGCAGGTGAAGAATTTGAGCCGCTGTACAAGGACTTTAACGAAAGGCATCTTTATTTGACCTAACCAAGTTCAGATTTGGTACTTTTTAGAGTTTTAATAACATATACAACTAATGAATTGATTTTTTTTATCGTTTGTGCATCAAGTATATTTGCACCATTACGGAGATGCGATGGAATTGTAGCCCTCTCCAGAAAACATCAGATTAAAAAAATTGGAGAGGGCTACATTATTGCAGCTAACAGACAGACAGACACATAAGGGTAAAACAGTATACCCCTCTCTCCTTCGGAGCGGGGGTATAAAAAACAAATGATCTGAATTAGTCGCTTTACGAGAAAATGGGGAAAGTGAGGTCCAGCAAGCATGCTTATGAGGCTATCTAAGGACTAAAACATCTCTTAAAAGACACACTAAAGACACATCTTAGTCTTAAGTAAGGCCATCGAAGCTATCCTATCTTTGGAGACTTCTTAATCATTGCCTAATTTTAGGACGACAACCAGATTGTCTTAAGACATATCTAAGGTGATTTTAATTGAAACAACTAAGAATTATTTGTTTGCGTAAATAAATCAAATATAAGTTGTAAATTATTAAATTCCCTTAAGGATTTGCACTAAATGAATTATATATAAATACACTTAACACCGTAACAATGTATAACTGTGTATAAATGTAAATGGGGAAAGTAGCTAATAACCAGAAGTCTCTGTCGAGACTGAAGTTCAACTGGTTTATTCTTTTGTATTTTTAGAATCCACGGCATGACCATTCATCTTAATCAAAAACCGATATACAGAATTATGTACTTTAGAGTAGTCAGACCAAAACTGTAGGAGACCTAGCATTTTGAAAGAATTTCACAGAAATTACTATTTTTAGTAACCACGGCAACACCGTTCACCCAAATCAAAAACCGATACACAGATTAATGTATCTTAGTGTAGTCTACTTGTGTGCCAAGTTATATTGAAATCAGACCAAAACTGTAGGAGGAGTAGCATTTTGAAACAATTTCACAGAAATTTCTATTTCTAGTAACCACGGCAACATCGTTTATCGAAAACCGATATACCGAATTATGTATCAACCATTTATGATGAAATAAAACTTAAGATTAACTCTGATCCTTGCGATTTTTAGAACTGTCAAATAAATTTCTGTCCGCCCGTTTTGGGTTTTGCCAGCTGTAATTCCGGGGACTTCCGTGATTACAGAATTAAACGAGAGAAAAATGCCGACATTGGAGAGAAAATAATTATTTAAAAATATAAGATGGATGAAAAGTTTATACCTGAGGATTTTTATCATTGTATCAGAATTATTTGCAGAGATGGGGATTGGTAATTCAGCTGGTAAACGGCGCATATAACTTTTAACAGGAAAAAATCGAGTCTGGGGCACGGAAAGGGGCAAAAGAAGTTGCAAGCCTTGTTTCTTATTTAGTATACAGTGAGATATGTCATTTTTAAAGCGTGCATAAAATCGAATTTCCGTGACATTCTAGTGTATATGAAGCAGAAAGGTTTACAAAAAACTAAAAATTAACACTGCACACTGAAAAAAAATGTTAGAGTATAGTTCGAATTTCCTCGACAATACATTATATAGAAAAAATACAGTATCCTTGACCCAAGCGCCTATGAAAACTATATTTAACTCTCTCACACAACATACGGGATTCACTCAAACTTCAATTAACACATTTACGCAATTATCGCACATACAAGTCGGACGCTCTTTGAGGTACAGAATTGACACTAATTCCTTAAATAGATATTGAGTGACAAATTCCTTTTTACTGTCTAAACATTAATTGATAGAGAAATAATTTTCGACATATGTTAAAAACAGGCATTAAAAATAATTCTTTTTATGAATTTAAATTCTGTTACATTTAAAATAAATTTGGTAAAATTTACTTTGTGACAATCATTCCCCTCTCCGAGTAAGACTCTGTCCCAGAGTCTACAGATTAAAAATTATAGTGAATAATACACATGCAAAATTAGATATGCTTTTAAATATTTTGAAAATTTAAATCATATGACGAAAGTCACTGTTCAGAGTTTAAATCAATATCCATAGGGAGCACAATAGTCTGTCGGTATGGAAGGCTGAGCCGGTAAGAGGGAGGGGGGAGGGGTCAGAGTAAAAAAAAATATTGATCCCTTCAAACATTTTGAATAATTTTTTCTAGATCAAAAGTGTTGTTCCTACGGATGTGGGTGTAGAACTAGATGTGTAGATCCAGTAGGAAAAATTAAAGGTGCGTACTCTATTCAGAATATTTTTTGATAGTTGATAAAGAATGAACTTTAAAAATTAAACGTGTTAAATACATCGTTCTTCATCTATTTGTTTTGAAATACTAATTCCCCAACAAGTGTTTTCTATTAATAGGGATATTTTTTTAGTGTTGAGAAGCAAAAGTGTAATAATCAGCATCACTTTCTGATTCAAGTAATTTATATTTATGTTCTGCGATTGCGTGTTTAGTTGACGTCTGCTCCCAACCAAAAGTTGTCGGTCGCTGCCGAGCTGCGTTCAGACGATGATGGTACAATAAAAGAAATAAACAGCTGTGAGCTCTTCATTTATGGCGGATGCCGAGGAAACAAAAATAACTTTCGGACAGAGGGGGAATGTCGGGACCGATGTTTGATGATTCTTTGTAAGTACTGATTTAAGATACTTTTTATTATACCCCACACAACAAGTTGTGTGAGGTATAATGTTTTTGAACCGTCCATCAGTTCTGTTTTTTGTTTGTTTGTTTGTTTTTTTTGTCAGCGCAACTCCTCATGAACTGCTGCACAAAATTTCGTCAAACTTTGCAGATATTTAGGATACAATGTGTAGATATGCATAGCACCAGAAAATTCCTACTCCTTTATTTTTTGCGGGAATTTCTGCACTTTTTAACTGGGATTTTTGGCCATACCTTGAATAAAGAGATAAACAGTTTTTCAGCGCAACTCCTCAAAAACCGCTGCACATAATTTTGTCAAACTTAGCAGATATTTAGTACACAGTGTGGATGTGCATATTACCATGAAATTCCGATTCCTTTATTTTTCTGGCATTTTCCTCACTTTTCAATTTAGATTGTTGGCAATATCTTCAATATAGAGATGAACAATTTGACAGCCCAACTCCTCATAAACTGCTGCATGTACAGACCTTTATTTTTTCCGGGATTTTCTCACTTTTTAACTTATATTTTTGGCCATATCTTGAATATAAAGATGACAGTACAGTTTGTCAGCACAAGTCCTCGATCATTAACCGCTGCACAGAATTTGCAGATACGAGTATTTAGTACACAGTGTGTAGATATGCATATTACCAGGAAATTCCGATTCCTTTATTTGTTTCGGGGAATTTTAGCACTTCAAGATTCTGGGGAGCATGGGTCACTTTTTCTTTCATTTTGACAGTTCTATTTGAATCAATTTAATGTTATGTATACAAAAGGGAAGAATTGTTTGGTTTTCTAAATGTATGTGACATACAGTGTGGTCGCCAGCTCCGGGTCACGTCAGGACGTTTCGTGGATATATTGAAGAATTGTTTGGTTTTCTACATGTATGTGATATACAATTCTTCATGACGAGTGTATTTCTAAATTATGTACGCTTTAATGTTAACAATAGGGCATAAAATAAACATGAGTGACCCGGAATTAGCAACTTTACTGTTCATATGGAGAAATGGTGTTCATTCTGCTCATTTACATATTCGCCATTTTGGAGCTATAATGGCGGCAGATTCTATAAAGGATTATATAGAGAACTTACAAAAAATTGGTAATTTTTATATTCTAACTATTTCGGATAAAGTTCTTCCGCCGATCTTTTGTTTTTTTTTATATCCTCTACCGGAAATAAGAATGATGTTGGTGCCAAAATGAAAGTTGCGACCGCCTTCTTGATTTGAAAATTCGAAGCGAGAGTACATTGTTTTATTGAAGGAAAGAGAACTGAATTAGTGTTTTTATCATATTTGGTGATTAAATGTAAGTGTTTTTTGCAAGATGACAAAGTTCTTCCGCCGATTAATAGGTGCAAACGAAGGTCTATTTTTAGAAAATATTGCTGTTATAAAATTATATAAAGAGTTACGACCGCCCTTTAAATTTAAAAACGGCAATTTTTTGCATTCGCCTGACCTACTAATTATTGAAACAAACGGTATCATTATTTGCCAACTAACGATAACGCTAAATTCTACCCATTTGGATATGTCGAGAGCTTAAAGAAATTTAAATGAAAAGTCTTGCATGTTTTTATTTTAAAGAAATGAGTTTTTGCAGGATCTTATGAATATTAATGAGAAGTAAATCACGTGGGAACAACCTCATGAATAAACTGCACGTCATTTCTCCATATGTAGTGTACATGTTTTATGATACCCCACGCAACAAGTTGAGAGAGGTATGTTTTTGACCCGTCCGTAAGTAAGTGTGTCAGTCAGTCCTGTTTTTTTTTTTTTTTTTTTTTTGCCAGCGCAACTCCTCCGCTGCACAGAAATTCGTCAAACATCAAAGATATTTAGGACACAATAGGTTGACGTGCATAACACCAGGAAATTCCGATTCATTCTTTTTTCGGGGACTTTTCGCACTTTACAAGTGAAATTTTTGGCCATACCTTGAATATAAAGATGAACAGTTTTTCTCCTCAAAACCCCCTGCAGAGAATTTCGTTAAACGTAGCACATATTAGGACAGTGTGTAGATATGTAGTTATTTTACTGGGAATTTCGGCACTTTTCAACGTAGAAATTTTCGACATACCTTGAATATAGAAATGAACAGATTGTCGGCGCAACTTCTCAAACTTTGCAGATAATTCGGACACAATGACTTTCAGTCCGAAAAATCTGACGTTTTCCTGGCTTTTTTACGATTTTGATATTTTACATGCCAGTAAAACGTCAGAACCGGCGCCATTACGAAAACTTTGAATTCGCCGCCAAATGACTTTGTGTAGATGTGCAGATGTGCATATTACCAAGAAATTGGAGATCCTTTACTTTTCCCGGCAATTTAGCACTTCGAAATTCGGGGGAGCGTAGGGTATGTGAGCCTGCTCACTTTTTCTTTCATTGCAATGTATTATGTATAGAACATCTCATTTTTAGCTCTACTGGTCAGAGACCAGAAGAGCTTATGCGATAGTAATGCGTCCGTCCGTCTGTCTGTCCGTCTGTCTGTCTGTCTGTATACAATTTTTCAAAATGCTACTCCTCCTACAGTTTTGGTCCGATTTCAATATAACTTGGCACACAAGTAGATTACACTAAGATACATAATTCTGTGCATTGGTTTTTGATTTCGATGAACGGTGTTGCCATGGTTACTAAAAAGAGAAATTTCTGTGAAATTGTTTTAAAATGCTACTCCTCCTGCAGTTTTGGTTCAATTTCAATATAACTTGGCACACAAGTAGACTACACCAAGATACATTGGTTTTTGATTTCGATGAACGGTGTTGCCATGGTTACTAAAAATAGAAATTTCTGTGAAATTGTTTCAAAATGCTACTCCTCCTACAGTTTTGGTCCGATTTCAATATAACTGGGCACACAAGTAGACTACACTATGATAGATAATTCTGTGCATTGGTTTTTGATTTCGATGAACGGTGTTGCCATGGTTACTAAAAATAGAAATTTCTGTGAAATTGTTTTAAAATGCTACTTCTCCTACAGTTTTAGTCAGATTATAATATAACTTGGCACAAAAGTAGACTACAATAAGATACATATTTCTATGCATCAGTTGTTGATTTCAATGAATGATGTTGCCATGGTTACTGAGAATAGAAATGTTTGTGAAATTGTTTCAAAATGCTACTCCTCCTACAGTTTTAGTTCAATTTCAATATAACTTGGCACACATATAGACTATACTAAGATACATAATTCTGTGCATCGGTTTTTATTAGCTCTACTGGTCAGAGACCAGAAGAGCTTATGCGATAGTAATGCGTCCGTCGTCCGTCCGTCTGTCTGTCTGTAAACAATTTTTCAAAATGCTACTCCTCCTACAGTTTTGGTCCGATTTCAATATAACTTGGCACACAAGTAGACTACACTAAGATACATAATTCTGTGCATCGGTTTTTGATTGTGATGAACGGTGTTGCCATGGTTACTAAAAATAGAAATTTTTGTGAAATTGTTTCAAAATGCTACTACTTCTACAGTTTTAGTCTGATTTCAATATAACTGGACACACAAGTAGACTACACTAAGATACATAATTCTTTGCATCAGTTTTTGATTTCGATGAACGGTGTTGCCGAGGTTACTAAAAATAGAAATTTTTGTGAATTTGTTTCAAAATGCTACTCCTCCTACAATTTTGGTCCGATTTCAATATAACTTGGCACACAAGTAGACTACACTAAGATACATAATTCTGGGCATCGGTTTTTGATTTCAGTGAACGGTGTTGCCATGGTTACTATAAATAGAAATTTCTGTAAAATTGTTTCAAAATGCTACTCCTCCTACAGTTTTGGTTCGATTTCAATATAACTTGGCACACAAGTAGACTACACTAAGATACATAATTCTATGCATCGATTTTTATTTTTTAATGAGTGGCAAGGATCATTTTTCTATTTATTGCTGATTTAAAGTCTCAAGTCCCAACTGCTACTTTTCTCTTCCTTTGTTTTAAGTATAAACCAGTAGAGCTACAGTCTCGACAGAGACTACTGGTTTTTATTTCGATGAACGGTGTTGCCATGGTTCCTAAAAATAGAAATTTCTGTGAAATTGTTTTAAAATGCTACTTCTCCTACAGTTTTAGTCAGATTATAATATAACTTGGCACAAAAGTAGACTACAATAAGATACATATTTCTATGCATCAGTTGTTGATTTCAATGAATGATGTTGCCATGGTTACTGAGAATAGAAATGTTTGTGAAATTGTTTCAAAATGCTACTCCTCCTACAGTTTTAGTTCAATTTCAATATAACTTGGCACACATATAGACTATACTAAGATACATAATTCTGTGCATCGGTTTTTATTAGCTCTACTGGTCAGAGACCAGAAGAGCTTATGCGATAGTAATGCGTCCGTCGTCCGTCCGTCTGTCTGTCTGTAAACAATTTTTCAAAATGCTACTCCTCCTACAGTTTTGGTCCGATTTCAATATAACTTGGCACACAAGTAGACTACACTAAGATACATAATTCTGTGCATCGGTTTTTGATTGTGATGAACGGTGTTGCCATGGTTACTAAAAATAGAAATTTTTGTGAAATTGTTTCAAAATGCTACTACTTCTACAGTTTTAGTCTGATTTCAGTATAACTGGACACACAAGTAGACTACACTAAGATACATAATTCTTTGCATCAGTTTTTGATTTCGATGAACGGTGTTGCCGAGGTTACTAAAAATAGAAATTTTTGTGAATTTGTTTCAAAATGCTACTCCTCCTACAATTTTGGTCCGATTTCAATATAACTTGGCACACAAGTAGACTACACTAAGATACATAATTCTGGGCATCGGTTTTTGATTTCAGTGAACGGTGTTGCCATGGTTAATATAAATAGAAATTTCTGTAAAATTGTTTCAAAATGCTACTCCTCCTACAGTTTTGGTTCGATTTCAATATAACTTGGCACACAAGTAGACTACACTAAGATACATAATTCTATGCATCGATTTTTATTTTTTAATGAGTGGCAAGGATCATTTTTCTATTTATTGCTGATTTAAAGTCTCAAGTCCCAACTGCTACTTTTCTCTTCCTTTGTTTTAAGTATAAACCAGTAGAGCTACAGTCTCGACAGAGACTACTGGTTTTTATTTCGATGAACGGTGTTGCCATGGTTCCTAAAAATAGAAATTTCTGTGAAATTGTTTCAAAATGCTACTTCTCCTACAGTTTTAGTCAGATTTTAATATAACTTTGCACACAAGTAGACTACAATAAGATACATATTTCTATGCATCAGTTGTTTATTTAAATGAATGATGTTGCCATGGTTACTAAGAATAGAAATTTTTGTGAAATTGTTTCAAAATGCTACTCCTCCTACAGTTTTAGTTCAATTTCAATATAACTTGGCACACATATAGACTATACTAAGATACATAATTCTGTGCATCGGTTTTTATTAGCTCTACTGGTCAGAGACCAGAAGAGCTTATGCGATAGTAATGCGTCCGTCGTCCGTCCGTCTGTCTGTCTGTAAACAATTTTTCAAAATGCTACTCCTCCTACAGTTTTGGTCCGATTTCAATATAACTTGGCACACAAGTAGACTACACTAAGATACATAATTCTGTGCATCGGTTTTTGATTGTGATGAACGGTGTTGCCATGGTTACTAAAAATAGAAATTTTTGTGAAATTGTTTCAAAATGCTACTACTTCTACAGTTTTAGTCTGATTTCAATATAACTGGACACACAAGTAGACTACACTAAGATACATAATTCTTTGCATCAGTTTTTGATTTCGATGAACGGTGTTGCCGAGGTTACTAAAAATAGAAATTTTTGTGAATTTGTTTCAAAATGCTACTCCTCCTACAATTTTGGTCCGATTTCAATATAACTTGGCACACAAGTAGACTACACTAAGATACATAATTCTGGGCATCGGTTTTTGATTTCAGTGAACGGTGTTGCCATGGTTACTATAAATAGAAATTTCTGTAAAATTGTTTCAAAATGCTACTCCTCCTACAGTTTTGGTTCGATTTCAATATAACTTGGCACACAAGTAGACTACACTAAGATACATAATTCTATGCATCGATTTTTATTTTTTAATGAGTGGCAAGGATCATTTTTCTATTTATTGCTGATTTAAAGTCTCAAGTCCCAACTGCTACTTTTCTCTTCCTTTGTTTTAAGTATAAACCAGTAGAGCTACAGTCTCGACAGAGACTACTGGTTTTTATTTCGATGAACGGTGTTGCCATGGTTCCTAAAAATAGAAATTTCTGTGAAATTGTTTTAAAATGCTACTTCTCCTACAGTTTTAGTCAGATTATAATATAACTTGGCACAAAAGTAGACTACAATAAGATACATATTTCTATGCATCAGTTGTTGATTTCAATGAATGATGTTGCCATGGTTACTGAGAATAGAAATGTTTGTGAAATTGTTTCAAAATGCTACTCCTCCTACAGTTTTAGTTCAATTTCAATATAACTTGGCACACATATAGACTATACTAAGATACATAATTCTGTGCATCGGTTTTTATTAGCTCTACTGGTCAGAGACCAGAAGAGCTTATGCGATAGTAATGCGTCCGTCGTCCGTCCGTCTGTCTGTCTGTAAACAATTTTTCAAAATGCTACTCCTCCTACAGTTTTGGTCCGATTTCAATATAACTTGGCACACAAGTAGACTACACTAAGATACATAATTCTGTGCATCGGTTTTTGATTGTGATGAACGGTGTTGCCATGGTTACTAAAAATAGAAATTTTTGTGAAATTGTTTCAAAATGCTACTACTTCTACAGTTTTAGTCTGATTTCAATATAACTGGACACACAAGTAGACTACACTAAGATACATAATTCTTTGCATCAGTTTTTGATTTCGATGAACGGTGTTGCCGAGGTTACTAAAAATAGAAATTTTTGTGAATTTGTTTCAAAATGCTACTCCTCCTACAATTTTGGTCCGATTTCAATATAACTTGGCACACAAGTAGACTACACTAAGATACATAATTCTGGGCATCGGTTTTTGATTTCAGTGAACGGTGTTGCCATGGTTACTATAAATAGAAATTTCTGTAAAATTGTTTCAAAATGCTACTCCTCCTACAGTTTTGGTTCGATTTCAATATAACTTGGCACACAAGTAGACTACACTAAGATACATAATTCTATGCATCGATTTTTATTTTTTAATGAGTGGCAAGGATCATTTTTCTATTTATTGCTGATTTAAAGTCTCAAGTCCCAACTGCTACTTTTCTCTTCCTTTGTTTTAAGTATAAACCAGTAGAGCTACAGTCTCGACAGAGACTACTGGTTTTTATTTCGATGAACGGTGTTGCCATGGTTCCTAAAAATAGAAATTTCTGTGAAATTGTTTCAAAATGCTACTTCTCCTACAGTTTTAGTCAGATTTTAATATAACTTTGCACACAAGTAGACTACAATAAGATACATATTTCTATGCATCAGTTGTTTATTTAAATGAATGATGTTGCCATGGTTACTAAGAATAGAAATTTTTGTGAAATTGTTTCAAAATGCTACTCCTCCTACAGTTTTAGTTCAATTTCAATATAACTTGGCACACATATAGACTATACTAAGATACATAATTCTGTGCATCGGTTTTTATTAGCTCTACTGGTCAGAGACCAGAAGAGCTTATGCGATAGTAATGCGTCCGTCGTCCGTCCGTCTGTCTGTCTGTAAACAATTTTTCAAAATGCTACTCCTCCTACAGTTTTGGTCCGATTTCAATATAACTTGGCACACAAGTAGACTACACTAAGATACATAATTCTGTGCATCGGTTTTTGATTGTGATGAACGGTGTTGCCATGGTTACTAAAAATAGAAATTTTTGTGAAATTGTTTCAAAATGCTACTACTTCTACAGTTTTAGTCTGATTTCAATATAACTGGACACACAAGTAGACTACACTAAGATACATAATTCTTTGCATCAGTTTTTGATTTCGATGAACGGTGTTGCCGAGGTTACTAAAAATAGAAATTTTTGTGAATTTGTTTCAAAATGCTACTCCTCCTACAATTTTGGTCCGATTTCAATATAACTTGGCACACAAGTAGACTACACTAAGATACATAATTCTGGGCATCGGTTTTTGATTTCAGTGAACGGTGTTGCCATGGTTACTATAAATAGAAATTTCTGTAAAATTGTTTCAAAATGCTACTCCTCCTACAGTTTTGGTTCGATTTCAATATAACTTGGCACACAAGTAGACTACACTAAGATACATAATTCTATGCATCGATTTTTATTTTTTAATGAGTGGCAAGGATCATTTTTCTATTTATTGCTGATTTAAAGTCTCAAGTCCCAACTGCTACTTTTCTCTTCCTTTGTTTTAAGTATAAACCAGTAGAGCTACAGTCTCGACAGAGACTACTGGTTTTTATTTCGATGAACGGTGTTGCCATGGTTCCTAAAAATAGAAATTTCTGTGAAATTGTTTTAAAATGCTACTTCTCCTACAGTTTTAGTCAGATTTTAATATAACTTTGCACACAAGTAGACTACAATAAGATACATATTTCTATGCATCAGTTGTTTATTTAAATGAATGATGTTGCCATGGTTACTAAGAATAGAAATTTTTGTGAAATTGTTTCAAAATGCTACTCCTCCTACAGTTTTAGTTCAATTTCAATATAACTTGGCACACATATAGACTATACTAAGATACATAATTCTGTGCATCGGTTTTTATTTTGATGAGTGGCAAGGATCATTTTTCTATTTATTGCTGATTTAAAATCTCAAGTCCAAACTGTTACCTTTCTCTTCCTTTGTTTTAAGTATAAACCAGTAGAGCTACAGTCTTGACAGAGACTTCTGGTTTTGTGATAACTTTGGCTCAAGTGAGTCGAACGGTATCTGGCGTTCGAACCAATCAAACAAAGGCCTATGGATTTAAGCGATAAACACTGACCGTATACAGTTGACGGTTTACTCTTACTTTAAGCGGGGCATGTACGGAGATAAAGAAAATAAATGAGAAAATTTATGGAGTGGTCATAGGTATAGTGTTTGGGGCACTAGCATGTGAAATACCGTATTTAGGGGCAGGATGCATGGTTGTCAAATTCTTCACAAGCAACTGAAGTGTGCTTTATTCCAGCCCTTTATTTTCGTTTAATTAGTTGATGAGCTAAATATTTCTATTACAAAAGAGCTTTCCATGTAAGACTTCGACTGTAAAAGTCAACGCCCTTCGCAAAAGTTCTGTAAGCACTATTGCCTGTCATTGTTTTTTTTTTTTTTTTTTTTGGTCGCATGAAGTGCCACGTTTTCTGTAAAGAGGAGATAATTCAGTTGAAAATCTTTTTAGCCACCTGGGCTAAAAAGATGAACATCATGAAATTTATTTATTACAGACTGTGAATTCAGATTTCTTCGAAATATGAACCCCCCACCACTAGATAATAGAAAAATAAAAAAAAAAATGTAAAGAACAGCAAAGTCGCGATACATACATTAATAGAAGGATTTTTGGGAAGTGCAGATTGAAGTTTGTTCGAATCATTACTCCTGGGTAGGATCGGAAAAATTGAAATTTTTAATTTAAGCATGTAATCAAAGTAATAGAATATAAAATAGCGCAAAAAATCTGCTTATTTAAAAAAAAAATAAAAAGTTACTCAGGTTAGTTTCATAACCCATGGGTTACATGGTGAAAGGATAATAAAGAAAAATGAAAAAAAAATATAAGTATAAGCAAAATGTATTTCTATTTTGCAGGAACTTTGCCCTATCGAATAACAACTGGCTTTAGAACTGGAACGACTACCTGATGTAGCAAGGATACGTATTTTAAATTTCATTGTGTTGTTGATTTTTTTATCAAACTTTAAATAAATCAATGCTTGGACGAGATTAAAAGCCATTCCTTCATATGTTTTTGTCTAATTTTTTCCGGGGAGCTAATAAAAGGTTTGCATGATTCTAATGTAAATCAGTCTATCTCTAATCAAAGGATTGATTGATTGTATGTTGTTAACGTCCATCTCGAGAATTTTTCACTCATATGGAGACGTCACCGTATGCCGGTGAAGGGCTTCAAATTTTTAACCTTTACTCGGCACTCAGGGCCATTGGGCAGTGACGGATCTTTTTCGTGCCAGCACCTACTGCGACACGGGGCCTCGGTTTATGCAGTCTCCTCCGAAGGACCTGTCTCCACGTCCACTAATGGGATTCGAGCCAATCAAAAGATTGAAAACCTACAGTACTAAACAACATATTATTTTAATTTTTTTTCTCACCTTTTTCCTCTCAAAGTTCCTTAAGCATTTGTTTAGGTCAAGGGACTGTCGAAATGTAAATGTCAATGAGCATGAAATGCCCATTTCGTTTTGTCTCCTGCTGAAAGTGGGAATATTAGTTGTGGACTGTCTGTCCGTCTGTCTTTCTTTAGTTTTGTTTTTCTGTAATACTTTCGTCTCCACACGATATCTTAAATCCTAAGAGCTTTTCCAGTGAAAATTTATACAACTCCCTATGGCCTAAGGATGATCCCTATTGATTTTGAGGTCAAGGTAATGAATTCAGATATTCTGTCGTATTAAACACGTCCCTTTCCGCGCGTTATCTCGAGAGGTCTTTGAATTTTATTTATTTATTTATTTTTTTTTTTACAAATTCCTATGATTAAGGAATTGAAACCCTAATAATTTTAAGGTCAAAAGGTCAAGGTCGTTAATTCATACAAACTAACTACATGACCGCCGAAATATTACTTAAATATTGTCGACTCGAAGTAAAACAAAAATCAGTCAACTACATAGTTATGATGAGGAACGGTGTTTCTTCTTAAATTGTGAATTTCATGGTCCCAAATTCAGGCTTTGTGGTGTAAGGGCGGGACTTTAATGATAATATAGTGAACACGCATTAATTCTTTTAAAATCTTCTTCACTGCTCCTGGGTATTTAATAAACTAACTAAATTTATCATTTATAGTAATGATGAGGATGGGTGCCTTTTCTAAAATTGTAAATTTCATGGCCCCAGGTCAGGTGTTAAGGTGGGCCTATAAAGATTTAATAGTGAAAATAACTGAAAACCTTCTCCTCTAGCTAGATTTTGTCATGAGTATTAAGCAGATGAACGAACTACCTACATGTATGAAGCTATGATGAGCAACAATTCTTCTTCCACAATTCCGATTTATAAGGCCCCGTATCAGATGTGCCATAGAAGGAGTGGGGGACTTTAATTATATTCTGAAAATGAATTATGCTTTGAAATATATTCCTTGGTATTAGACATTTATAAGAAAGGGTGCCTTTTCCAAAATTTTGAAACCAGGGTCAGGGATTTACCGGGGGAAGGGGGGCTACTAATTATTGCTGAATAATACTGATTAATTGAAATGCATCATTTTGTTCAGAATATGAGCAATGATACCTCTTTCAAAATTTGGAATGTCATAGCGCCTGGTTTAAAACATGAAACAATTTTTTTTAAGTAGGAATTTAGGTGACGTATAAGGCCCATAGACCTCTTGTTTTCCTAAGCAGGGGACACGACTTCTCTGAATAAGGTCCGCCAAGAAGAGTTACCTCCCCCAGGTGGCGCTTGTGTACTATGAGGTATAGATCCGTCGCCATATTGTTTACTTTATAAGTTAGAAACCGCGTTTGTGATAAATCTTCGATATGCCAGTGTATTGCTGTGTACCTATGTGTAAAAATAAGATAGGTGGGCATCTGTTCCCTTCGAATCCTGATCTTAGATTAAAATGGCGAGTCGTGATTCGAAGATTGGATGTGAAAACACGAAAGTTATGGGAGCCAGCTGCTCACGACCTGGTGTGTGGCGATCACTTCACACCCGATGATTACATTCAGTCAACATTACTTGGTTAGTCCGTTATCGTAATCTTATTGTTGATCTAATTATAATTATTACGTTTTTAAGTTTGGAAATAATTCTTAAATCAAAATTATCGTTCTTAAACGATGGTAGTTATCTCAACGCGATGTTCAGCATGCTGGTCATAGCCTAACGTTAACCTACAACTGTTTTTATACCCTGACGGAAAAATACGTGGTTTTCGATTTACCACTTACACAAACATCTGACAGTATTGTTTTTATACCCATATGATTAAATAAAGAGAAAACGTAAATTTGAAAGTAAGCTTCAGACGAGTTTCATTTATTTTAAGGGGAGAGAAAGAGACTGAAACCAGAAGCTGTTCCTTCTGTCTTTCCCTTTGCGTGTAAGAATGAGTTACCTAGCACAAGAGTGCAAAGATACAGTAAAAGATTCAAGTGTAATACAGATCAGAGTAAAAATGTTTTTATTAGTGAATGTGTGGTGAATGAAAATGTTCCTAGTAGTGAATGTGTTGTGAATGAAGTGGTGGTGGAATCAGTGCAAGAAGTTAGTGTAGATTGTGATTCAGAATGTTATTGTTGTGAGATGTGTATTGTTTCATTATGTATATAATTAGTAACATAAAGTTTCTTGAACATTCCAGAGTGGTCAACATGTTTGGTCATTTTATCTAGAACATTCTTAAATTTTGTGTATGTCCAGATTGTTCCAGTAATATCATGTTTTAACAATTTCTAGAATATTCTAGATTTATATTACTGTATAAATGCCCTGTGAATTCGATACATAGAGATACTTTGTCGTATAAGCACTATTGAGATATAAATGGGATATATTTTCACTGGGACATTGTGTGCAGCAACGGACACTCTGATGTATGTATTTTTAGATTCTTGCTAAGTTTGTACTTTATGTTTGATATATTTATTATATATTACTGTAAATAAATTATTGTTAAGTTTAAATTGTGTTATTGATCTTTGCTGGCATTTCGGGTAATTCTGACCCATAACAGAATTGGGGGCTCGTCGGGATAAAGAATTTCTTGCACTTTTGCAGTTTATTGTCAGAATTTTTGTTAATTGAACCTTAAATTTAATTATAAGCCAGCAGAAATCAACATGGTGTTTTCGGTCACAGACTTTCTTAGTTCACCAAGTGTTCAGGTTTTTGATACGTTAAAAAAGGATGACTTGATCGCATTAGGTTTGCATTTTGGGTTAGATGTTAAATCCTCTCAGAAAAAGCAAGACATTAGAATTAAGGTTGCAAACAAACTAGTAGAAGAAAACATCTTTGAAAAATACGATCTTCCAGAATATACAGTTAAATCAGAGTTAGGCTCTTATAAAATGGCAGAATATCAGTTTCAATTAGAGTTAGAGAAAATGCGATTTGAAAGAGAAAAATTAGAAAGAGAAAGAGAAGAACGAGAGAGTGAACGAAAATTTGAATTAGACAAATTAGAAAGACAAGAGCGAGAAAGAGAGCGTGAAATGAGCTTTGAATTAGAGAAATTAAAATTACAGAACCAACCAGAACCGTCAGTTGTCAAAACTGAATTTGATGCAGCAAAGAATATCAGATTAGTTCCAAAATTTCAAGAAAAATCTGTAGACAAATATTTTCCACAATTCGAAAAGGTAGCAGAGAATCTTAAATGGCCACGAAATGTTTGGTCAACAATGTTACAAAGTGTACTGGTTGGAAAAGCGGCTGAGGTATACTCTGCACTAGGGGTAGTTGAGAGTTCAGACTATGAGAAGGTCAAAGCAGCAATATTAAAAGCATATGAATTAGTACCTGAAGCGTATAGACAAAAGTTCAGAAAGTATAGAAAGTTTGATAATCAAACATTTGTTGAATTTTCACGAGAGAAAGAAAATTTATTCGATCACTGGTTTAGATCTAAGAAACTTGATAAAACTTTTGCTAATTTGCGCCAAGTCATCCTGGTAGAAGAGTTTAAGGAATGTGTTCCTCAAGATTTGAAAACACATTTAGAAGATAAGAATGTGAAAACTCTTGAAGAGGCAGCAGTCATATCTGATACTTATGCTCTGTCTCATAAAAAGAATTTTGTTTCAAGATCTCAGACTAGCAGTAATTCTACCAATTCAGACACATATAAAAAGAGTGGTTCAGGGTCTCAGTCTTTCACAAGTTCCCAGTCTCCATCCCAAGGTGGTTTTAAGTCCGGTCCAGGACGTGTTGAAGGATCGTCTGGAATAGGGTCGCTTCCTACTTGTAGTTATTGTAAGAAAAAGGGTCATCTGATCAGTGAATGCTTTAAACTTAAGAGAAAAAATGATTTTGATAAAACTCAACCACATGCTTGTGCGGCAGTTAGAGGTGATAGAGAAGCCTTAGTTTCGATTTGTTCTGACACTCCTGATGTCCAGGGTTCACAGTCCAGTTCTATTGATTCTATGGAGGATTATAAGCCCTTTATGTCTCAGGGATTTGTTTCACTCGGTGACTCTAGCGAAATAAAACCTGTCCAGATTTTGAGAGATACTGGTGCTGCACAGACGTTATTGTTAGAGGGCGTGCTTCCTTTGTCTGAGCAGACTTCTACTGGTGGGTCAGTTTTATTACAGGGTGTGGAGCTAGGCGTCATTGATGTTCCCCTGCATAGAATTAGTTTGAAGTCAGATTTAGTTACTGGACCTGTTATCGTAGGTGTTCGACCTACTCTTCCCGTTCCAGGCATTTCTTTGTTGTTAGGCAACGATCTGGCTGGTGGAAAAGTTGTACCAGATCCTATAGTTTGTGAGAAGATCACTCCAGATGTCATGTATAATGATGAAGATGATGACATTTATCCAGCCTGTGCTGTTACTAGAGCGATGGCCAGAAGACGAGAAATGGAGGCAGACCATACTCAAGCCTTTGACGAGACGAATTCCTCTGTTGATATTGATTTGAATGACACTTTCTTATCTGACCTTAATGGCACTCAAACAAACATGGAACCACACAATATCAAGAAGCAAAAGAAGAAAGACCTGTTACCAAAATTTGGT